ATTATTTTAGTGAATAGAATGGAGGAGAACTGGAAGCGCTTCGTGGCCTCGCACTAGCGAGAACGTCCTTTTCCTTTTGTTCTATTTATCTATTTAGTGGCTTACTTAGATTTATCTAATCTTTTCCATGTAATTTTTTAAATTATTAGGTAACGAATGGAAGAAATGTTGCGGATAACGAATGATTTCTCCCATTTCGCCACCACCTTCAGGTGGTAAATGAAAAGGTTTCAATAGTATCATATAAATTTTTTTACGACGTATTTTAAAATACCTGATCATAACAATCATTTGATGTTGATACGAAAGAATTAAGAATCGTAATTTATGGACGTGGAATCATCCATGATATGTGAGGCAGCAGGCACTATAAAGACCCGAATGTTCCAGATTAATTTAACAATAAAAGAAAATCTTAATAAACCAACATTCAAATTCAAACCCATCATGTTAAAAGTTATATATTATATATAAATTGATTCAACAAAAAATTTTCGAAAAACTATAAAATTAGGTCGTTAAAAACATTAAAGTATCTGTCTGATTGGCGCAGTAAAAATTATTGTGGCTTTAACAGTCATGATTTGTTTATATGTGCACAGTTACACATGAATTAAAAATTTTTTGAGAATTTAGAAAATTTTCGAAATTTTTTGAGGGGCATCATAAAGATGGCAGGAAATTTGCCAGATTTATGTCTTCATGGAATCTTCAATCATTTGAATGATGATGATAAAACTTTGTATTCTTGCACATTTGTAAATAAACGATGGAGTTATTCATCTATTCCAGTATTATGGGCAAATCCGTTCGAGCTGATCAAAAATCTGGAACTTTTTAAACCTTTATTAGATACCTATTTTTCTTTTTTACCTCAAAATCATTTACAAAAACTTGAAATCAAACCAAGATTTAATCGAAATACCATGTCCTTTAATTATCCTGTATTCTTTCGTCATATGAATTTGTTATCAATTTTTCGTGGAATAGAATATTGGTGTCAAAAAGAACCTACATATGAAGAAGAATCATATGATGCTTTACAGAAAGAAGTTCAAATTTGTGAAGCATTGGTTGAATATTTATTTATTCATTCTTCTAAAATTGACACACTCGTAATTCGTAAATTTTCTTATTTCGACATTTTAAACCTTTCTGGCTCTAGAAACGTTCTTTCAAAAGTTCACACATTAATCTTCGATAATGAATTGTTCGCAAATCAATCTTCAACTTTATCAAATTTAAACCAAAATTTCAGATCGTTAACATGTTACTTTGAACCTCCTCATTACGATTCTATTGATAGTTTAAAACAACTTATTCGATCTCAAAAAAATTTAATTGATATTACAATCTCTGAACCTCAAGGAGACAAATTATTTCCAATGTTTTGGGAAATATTCCATTCTTCGATAAATGTTACATCGACAATTACTTTTATAGAATTTGAAGACATCCAATTTCCTCGAAATATTGCTTTAATCTATCATTTATCTTCATTTACCAATTTACAATACCTCAAATTTAATGGTTGTGATTTATTGGGTATTCTTTTTAAAGAAGATCAACTTATACAAGAAATTAATTCCTGCCGCCCTTTAGCTTTTAAAAAATTAAATACTATCATTATTATAGAAACTCCCCTTACTATAGAGTTATTAAAGATCCTTTTACAGTTATCAGGTGAAGAATTGAGATGTTTGGAATTATTAGATATGAAAATCGCTAAATTTAATTATATTATAAAATGGTTGGAAGTATTTTGTTTGAAATTAAGAAGATTGGTGGTTAAGGATCCATCAAATAAGTTGGAAATAGTGAGAATTCAAGATTTCTTTCTAAAATTTGATAATCTGCCGTATGTAATTATAAATGGAGAAAAATTTACATCTTTAACGTAAAAAAAAATTCCCAATTTTTTGATGTGCCGCATATTTTGATTACCAAATTGGGCTAAAATCTTTACACATTTGATATGTTGTCGCGTTTATAAATTTTATAAAATTTTTCATTTAATATTTTTAAAAATGGCAACAAATTCGCTTGAACAATCGGATTCAATTGCTTCATCTTCTACAACACCTCATCTAACACTTACTTTACCACGCAAAAGTCGAGCAAAAGATTTATTAAGAAAGTATTATAAATTAGGTCT